AGTATGTAGAAATATACTCTTTTATTAGTTCTTTTGGGGGATATTAAAAAACATTTTATTTACATGCTAGCAATTCAAATATTAGGATGAGCAAATATAGAATGGTGAACTTCTTTTCTTGCATTCTTGTGTCAATTGCTAAATGGAATCCTGATTTGTTAACGGGAACATATTTAGAAATATCATTTACACACAAGTGTCAAAATATCCTAATGAGGCATAGAATTATCTTACTTTGCCCACACAATTTTAATACTTAATAACTTGATTATAAAATTGGGTCATAATATCCTTGGACACAAACAAAATAAAAAGTCGAAAAACGGATTCGTATAGTTCCTCTAAAAAAAGGATTATAAAATTAAAAAGATATGAAAATTGCTGTATGTGACAAAAGCAAAAATTATATTTATTAAAAGTATATATGTGACAATATGCAAATCAGCACACATACATATTTTTCTTTCATTTTCATTGTAATTTTCCTTTCTTAAACTGGAACACACAGTCCGTTTGATTTGGGAATCAATTTTTTCCCAAATCCAATCATGCAAACCCTAATTCAAAAGAACTTCAGCTTCCAATTCGATCCTCACATACATTCTAATTTCCTCTCATCACGCATAAACCACAACGAGTTTCTCCAAATTCACCAAAAGGAACGCCGTTTTACTCTCAAATCTCTGAAATTACTCTCCGCCGCAGCTTCTCAATCGCCGAGCTACGGTGGCTGGGACGACTTCCAGCTCGGTGGCGACTCTGTCAGCTCCGGTGAGTCAAACCAGTTCTATACTCTTTTGAGCTCCATTGGAATCGGTGATAAGAAGTATGCATTTGTGTATCTGTTTGGGTTTGTTTGTGCCCTGGCTATTTCTAGAGTTAGGGTTCCCACAATTATGCTCTTTCCAGCTAGCGCCATTGTATTTGCTCTTGGATTTGCTGTTGGGTCTGTCAAAGGGGCCAATTTTAAAGAGTTAAGATCAATTGAGAACAGGAAAAAGCTTATAGAGGATGAATTTAGGGGTTTAATTGAGAAATTGGGGGACGTGAGGAATAATCTGAAAGGGTACAATGCCGAGTTTTTAAGCTTGAAGAAAGGTGTTGAAAGAAGTATAGAACGCAATCATATCACAGTTACTGATTTAGAAGGCTATGTTTACTCTATAGAATCTGCCGACAAGAATTTAGGGAAAACGATAGATCTTGTAGAAAAATGTATAAAATGTGCACTAGGCGGTAATGAAGAAAATGGGGTAGTTTCTGAACTTGATCCCGGAAGAAAAGGAAAAAAATCGGGCGATAGTTCATTAAAAAAATTTGATGGTTTTTTCGGATGGAAGTTTGGTGGTGGAAAGGCTGGTAAAGTTGAAAGCTCTGGCCGGGTGAAATCGCACGATGCAGAAGAAGTGAAGAATCAGAAACCAGAAAACATCTTAGTCACTCCTTTTGAAAATAGAAATGTAAATTCCGCACCGAGTCAAGGTTTTGAAAATAAGAGTGCGTCTACATTGAACAATCCTATGGATAACGATGTTCGAGTACGAGATAGAGCTGAAAATGATAGTTCTTTTCATGGGATTGGAATGGAAGAAATGCATTTTGAAAACAAGAAGACAAATCTGGGCGAGTTACACGGTCCCGGTAAAAAAGCAGTTTTGGACCAGAAAAATTACAGTCACCGGAAAAACACGTCAAAATTCTTGAACAACCAACAAATACATTTGAAAGATTATCAGGATGAAACTGAAATGGTCTCATCACACTATGACTCGTCCAGTTCTGTTGATTTTAGCGTCAGTATGAATCGCAGCCAGCAGAAAAGTGAAACCCTGAACAGAAATTATTTGCATTTAGAAATCACAGAAGAGAATAACCAAGTGTACCAAAGGAACTTTTACACAAAGGAGAATTTTGTTCCTGAAAAGAGACCATCCTTTGCTAATAATCAAGAATCCACAAATGATCGCATTATTGGGCCTTCTCAATCTTCGGTGCTTGGTACTGATTTAGAATTCAATAGGTATCTTTCAGAAGCTAATAATCTTTTGAAAGAAGCGAAAGGGTGTTTGACACAAGAAGTTGACGAGAGTAGAGCAGAGCATGTACTGCAAAAGTCGGCATTACTACTTTCGAAAGCAATAGATATGAGGCCAATGAGCCTATTGGCCGTAGGCCAGCTGGGGAACACGTATCTGCTTCACGGAGAATTGAAACTCAGATCGAGTAGAGAGTTGAGATCCTTACTTGTGAGAAGTGATCACTTTCTCGATGGGGAGTGGGGAAAAGTTCTAAAAAAGTTTGAAGATCAATTTAACGACAGAGATGAGATCACATCAGCTCTTGTGAACGTTTGTGAAGAATGTGAAGAGCTACTTGTTAAGGCCGGGAGGAAGTACAAACTGGCCTTGTCAATTGATGGGAATGATATGAGGTCGATGTATAATTGGGGCCTTGCACTTACTTTTCGTGCACAGTTGATTGCTGATATTGGGCCAGTAAGCATTGTTTTCTTATATACAAGTATCTTTCTTTTTCTTTTTTTGTTCCTTTTAAATTCAGATTTTTTAACTTTTAATTTGCGGTATAGTCTAAAGCTAATATTACTCTCATCCTATCACCTGGCTGATAAAATCTACTGAAATTATTCAGTGCATGAAGCATTTTGTTTTGGTATTTTCGATTTTACTTCCTATTTGACCTTTCTCTTCTGTATTACAGAGCGCAGCTCGTGATGCTGACAAAATCTTCTTGGCTGCCATTGACAAATTCGATGCTATGATGTCCAAAAGCAATGTTTATGCTTCTGATGGTATGGAGACATTTTCCCTAAAACCATGCATTTCTTTTCCACACAGTATCACATGTGTAATAACTTTATATCAACAGTCAACATCTAATTGGAATTAATATTTCCACAAGAGAAGCAAACTGTATAATGGAGTGAAGGCAAAAAATGAGAGCTG